GCGTGTAATAAGCACGAAAAAAGAACCACTTATTGGGTGGTTTACTTTTTATTTTTTTAGGTGACTTTTGTTTCATATCGGTGCAGAATACATGTAATTGATTGGAACTGCATATTTCTAAGAATTTCTATAATTAACTTATTATTATTACATGAAAGTACAACTTTTAAAGGAAAAATAAAGGACCAAAATATTGCCGATTCGAGGATGCAAGTTTTTTCCTTGATCTTTATAATGCATTCACAAAAGTCATTTGACAAATATTAAAAATTCCATATAAGGAGATCGCTGCAGCCGCAGCCGCAATATTATCGCACATTCCAAAACATTTATGTTAGCTTCTAGAACGCAATACAGCCACAAATTATAATATTATTGTTGTGGATACAAAAGAGAATGGAATAAAAATTACTAAAACCAAATAATCGAACGGGAATCGATCATTCTTCAAACACGTCAAACTCGTTACAAAATGACCAATAATTATATGGATGCAACAATAAAAACTAAAATTTTTTTTTCATTATTTTCTTACCGTTTTTAGACAAAGACTTTTAACGTTGATCACTTGTCAAATTTGGCTTATTCAGCAAGATTATATATGCCAAGATTTTTATCGTAATTATTATAGGAAATATGAAGTTAGTGTTGATTGCATGATCCATCATGGGTTCATGGGTTTTTTGCGATATTAAATAATAGCTATTAACATTAAAGGAAAATTGCATTTTTTGATAATTAAACACAACGCAACACACACACACACACACAAAGCATCGTTTCCGAGTTTAGGGATCCTTCTTAACGAATTGATAGATCGCATTGAATGACCAAATACATGTAATTTCTTACGTGTCATCTTTAAAGATTATCTCTGCAGCATAATGGTCAGCTGAATGCACACATGCAAGGATTTATTTTAGATAAAAATGCACAAATAAAACAAAAGAAAACATCTTGTAGAAAGTTGACGGAATAATAATTCCACTATAATGCATCAAAAGGAAATTTATATCGATGTAATGTAATCGCACTTTTTAACTCGTATAGCATTTTTTTTAACTCTTTCATTCATATCCTTAATTTTTCTCTTATCGGAGTTCATATTCCATATACGCCGAAGCAAAGCTTTTAATTTGGATATGCTTGTAATACGCCATAGATAAGATAATAAATCATGTGTCGCATAGTTGCATATATATTTATATATTCATATAATTGTATGTGCCTCGTGGTCTTGTGTTTTGTGTTATACGTCTTGACATAAGGAAAAAAAAGACTACGTAGTTGCACATTTTCTTTGATTTGCTCCTTGCTAATTTTAATTTCATGCTACATGCACTGTTTTGTTGCTGAATAAAGTATTTTTCTCTTGCTTGGAAATATCCGAATATGGAAGTTTTTATTATAGAGATTTTAAAAGTTTTCAATGAAGAAAAATCTGGCTCATCGAAAGATTTAGTAGAAAAGTTAATAAGCACAACGAAACATGGGAAATCATTCGATTTGAAAACTTTTCGACAAAAACACCAAACCAACTTTGCAGGAATGCGAACAAACAGCACAAGAAAATAAATATCCCATGAATCATAACAAAGAAATCTTAGTAATGACTTGAATATCTATAGGTCATCTGACAGCATTCTTTATTAGAAGAAAGGGACTGCCGTTTACCGCTACTGGAAGCTATGGATGAATGTATGTGTAAAGTTACCCGACCCATTTTCCAATGGTTCATACCTAATTTAGTAAGTTGGAATTACTGTACCATGCAAATTCCCTTCCTTGGCAATTGATATTTGCACGTACATCGTAACATCAATTTGTTGCGGCATAACCCAAACTTATAAATAGATGTTATTTTCGGTCCAAGCGAAAGGTTAGTCGACTAAAAAAATTAAAAAAATAATTGGAAACGAAGTAAAAAACGAAGTGAAGGTTAAAATATTTTTTAAAGATAACGAAAAAATGGCTAAAAAATTCAACGTCCAAGAAGATTATCAAAAACAATATACCTTTGTTGATCCTTCTAATTCCACCGACGTACATCGAACTCCGCCACCCCATATTCCCGAGATTGAGCCTCCATTTCCTCCAGTGAATTTGGACATAGAGAAGATTATGAAACAAAAGTCACCTAAAAAAATAAAAAGTAAACCACCCAATAAGTGGTTCTTTTTTCGTGCTTATTACACGC